CGATTCGGTCCAGCCAAGATACCATTCTTTAGTATGACAGAACCTACAGTCGTATAAAATTTCAACTTCCTATCTCAATTTTTTCTAGAGTTATCGTGACTACAAGGATTTTATCAAAAATATACAAAAAATTGGAAAATGCCAATTACTACCTAGTTATCCGTAGTTAACGTGAGATATTATGATTGCATTTGATAGAAATAATCACAAGGAACATTTTAGCGTCAACCAAATTCAAGTCGCGTAGTTTTTTAGATATTGAGGAAAATAGATTTTCAAAAAATCTGCTATATCTCAAAAATTACTTGACGGATCGACCTGAAATTTCGCCTGTATTTGCTCCCAAACAATGCCCACAATATTTCAAATTTTTAGCTTCAACTTTACTCCTTTTTTTTGTTGAAATTTCAAAAAAATTTGAAAAATTTGCACATACATACGGACATACACACACACATTTCTTAAAAACATCATATTTTCGCGTTTCATTACATTATACTATTTCCAGGCAAAATTAAAAGATCGTAAAAATGATCGATTACAAAGCTTCCATTCGGAACCAAAAATTATGCAACTGGAGCTCGCTAACTCAATGACTGGAGAAGATATTAAAGATTGAACTTTTTCTCCTTCTAAAAACATTTTTTTTTAATTTTGAATTACGAGTCCCTGATGAATCAAACCCGGAGTTAACTCTCTCCGAGAGTGCTGGGTTGCTGAGTGCTCTGTTTGCTGTATTTTTTCCATAAATCTAGAGTTGACCCAGAGTTAACTCTGGGTGTGATCTATCAGGGGTCACCAAGAACACTAGAAAAATTTTCAAGTCATAGATTTTGTCGGAAATTTTTTTAGCTTTTCGAGACAACTTGTATCGATGATGATACTTCCAAACGCCGCGGCCTGCCTTGTTTGGATACTGAGGTGAATTAAAAAATGAAGATTGAACACAGGAGATTGTCTTTAAAATAACAATAAATATATTCTGTTACATATGCCGGATTGTACAGTTTTACACAAAGTTTCTTTATAATTAGTGGACTATATTTGATAGTTCAAGAATTGAATGGAAATTCATAACTGCTTGAAAATTTGCAAAGTCGCAGTTTTTATATGCGTAGGATTCAGGAGGTCCTCGGTGATTGGTTCTGGTATGGTGGAAGGGATCACTCTTTGGAAGGGTGCCAGGATTGGCGAGAAATTGGACGGGAAAGGAGCGTCTGAGCGGGAAGCGCTGGGATTGGTTCGGCGCTGTGGATTTTTAGATTTGCCAGGGTGGAGGAGAAGGGGTCGTTGGGACTCAAGTGAGTCGGAATGCGTCAAGGCCCCCTGGGGTGCTGGCGACGGATTGTCGGGATAGGGATTAGGTGCCTCAAGGTTTCCTGGGGTGTTGGCGACGGATTGTCGGGACTAGGGATTAGCTTATTGCACAGGATTAGCAATACCCAAATAGTATGACTGGTTTATGAGACTAGGTACAAATTTTGAATCATGAAATGAGTATTGATGAATACTAATGACGAGGAACAACGTGAGTAAATAAAGGTTTAGGAACAATTGGCGGGGAACCACGCGAGGAAATAAAGGTTCAGGAACAATTGGTGGGAAACTACGCGAGGAAGAATAGAACATTTCGTGCGATTGCAACTGCGCTTGAAAATATTGAAATTTAATAAAAATGTCTAAATAAACGGTTCGTGGATTAATCCTTACGACTCAAAACAACTATTGTTTTTTATGTATCCGCGTATTTTGGCATGGCAAACTCAAACAGAAAATTTCAACCGGTCAGTTGGGATCGTTCCCCACCTTTTTTTGTTTTTTTGTTCGTCACAAAGTTCAAAACATTTCCTGACGAAGACTTATTGTGAATTTTGAATATAATTTATTGAGCATTGATTAGTAAAAATTAAATCTCCTGACTATCATTACTCATGAAGTCAAATCAACCACTTAAATCTAAAAATTAGTTTTTGTACAATATTTCGAAACACAAAGGAGATACAGGGATTTTTGCCATAACTTTTTTCTAGAACTCATTCATTCTTACAAGAAAAGTTTTAACTTTGAAATCGATATTTTGCTTTAATCCTGAGATATTGTGGAAAAACTAGTCGCAACTGATTCAGGAGATAATTTTTCAATGTATATCGCTACACACACAGTAGAAGATGATTATCTCCCACACAGTAGGAAAAATTTTATACGAGCTTATTTTGTAGATCTTATTCTGCTCTACAAAAAATTCTTGATTCCCTTTAGATTTTTAGATATTTTTGAAAAACTAATTTTATGGGTGAACAAAATTTTATTTTTCTCTGCAATTCACCTCCGAGTTCGTGAGAGCACCAAAAATAAAAATGTTTTTGTTTAGGAAATTTTCTGACCTTTCCAATGAAAAAAACATTAACACAATAAAACTTTCTCTTTGAGTTTTCCATGCCGAACTACATAGATACATGAGAAATAATATTTTTTTTGAAAAGTTGAGAAAACGTTTGTCAAAATCTACGGGTTCTAACTTTTTTGTTGTTCTTAGTGGGTCGTATTTAGGATTGAAAAAAAAAGTTTTTAGAGGGAAAAAATTAAATCGTCCATATCTCCGCCACTAATTGAGTTAGGGAGCTCCGATTGCGCTCATTTTTCTTCTTTTGGGCCCTACCTTCCAATAAAACGGTAAACAAACTTTCAAAAGGGCGGGTTCGCTCATATATATGCATATCTTTGAACGTGACACGGATCTCTGACTCGAAATGAGAAAAAAATTGACCGCCAATTTTGAAACATTATTGAAACTTCGTTTGGTTCCCAATTGCCGTAATGAATAGGGTCCTGCGTACAGTTCAGTTTTACTACTTGTACGTTCCTTCCTTGTTTTTCTCGTACTTGGCATTTTCCTATTTTTTCTATTCCCGGTTGAATCTTTCGACTGACATAATTTATTATTTTGAGAGTGGAATTTTCCTTCAAGAGAGATTGTTATTCGTACGTTAAAGTTTGGCCGTTATTTTCTGTTTTCATTTTTCACAGTTTCATATTAGACTGAATAACCTGCACATTCAAAGACCGTTGAAATTTGATGGAATTTGGTATTTGGAATTTCTCCAACAAATACCTAGACAAGGTTAGCTTGTTCTGGAACAAAGGACTGCGTATGATTGACTCCATCAAATTTATATTGATTATAAGACATCAAATACCGTAGATATCAATGGCACCACAGACACGCTCTAGTTATTTGGAGTCCCAGCCACGATTTATGCCTAGTAAACCGTGCGATAAGCAGATGCCAACGGTGTAATGGTGCCCAAGGCCATAAGCATTGCCCGGTTTCACTCAAGATTTGCATGACAATGCCTTTATGATTACGACGGTGGCCCAATCAAATCCCGTGCACACATCGTTTAAAACCAAGTGTTTATTGCCGGTATGACCATGCAAATTTCCGTGTTGTGTCAGGGGTATATCAATAATTTGTCTTTACGTATCAGAAACGAAGAATGAATTTCTCAAATTTTTCGCATGTGAAATATAAAATTATCACTCTTCAAGATTAACTAATTAAACTATTAGGTTATTTGCGCTCAACCCCTTCGGCCAATGGCTGTTTAAAGATGTTTATCCAAAATCGCAAGTACTTGAAAAACAATTGATTTTTTTTTCCACTGAGAGATGAAGATATCCCTTCACTTTGATACAAATTTCAATTCACCAACCCATGTTCATTATTTAGAAATGAAATAGACATTATACACCAAATGCATGCGCTAACATGCCCTTATATGGGATAGAATCATTCAAATATTTCCTCTTTTTGCCCGCAGATTTTTCTCTGACTACTGGATTCAGAATGATTTTCCACATTAACTTCCATTTTTATTTCTATTTTCAGTCTTCTGGTAAGTTAATTATCAATTTGAACATAAATTTCATAAGAGACCGTGTATTGGGCTAGCTAAAAAAGGATGCGCGATCTGGTGGCCGAGGAGGTATTCAAAAAAATGGTAGCTCAGAGGCGCACTACACGCGGCCGGTTTAAGCTGTAGTGGTTTGTGCTCCAAAACAATGAAAAGTTAAAAAATGGAGCAATCTTTTGATACGAACAGAAAAATTCTGAAATAAAAGAGAAAGTGTCATGTGAAAAGTTGTAATAATGATATAACTAATAATCCTGAATTGAGCTTCCATACTCTGCACCCACCGAGTCGTGATTTGTTGATGATAACCTCACCCAACAAGTCGATGAGAATAATTGATGCACGTGAGATTTGGCTTCAACGTTTGCAACCTAATCGGGTTTTGCAAAATATGCGGTAATGCACTCAAACCACTCGTCTCTAAACATAAAGACACCAAATCAACCTGCTTATTGGTGACGGATGTAGCACCACAAAAAACCACATTTTGGGAATTTAGTACCGTTGCCCCCTCTACAATATTTCTCGAGGAAACCGTACTATTAACACAATTAAAAATTTGTTCCAAATTCAATGTTAGCATATTGATTTTAATAAATATTTATTAAACAAAACTGATAGTGTTTACATTGCTCTGATTTGAACACCACGTAGCGTCTCAGAGCCTCCATGTGCATTGGCAGTGGCGCCGCCCGCGGTAAATGGCGAGCCCAATAAGGAAAAATTTGTTTATTCATTTCTGCCGAGACTATTGCGATTAATTTTTTTTAACATTTGAAAAGTTAGTTTTATATGTTCTGCCGTCAGTCGAAAAAATTACAGAATTTTCCTTGACCATGAAAAAAAAAAACACATTTACCGACGATTTACCAATAGTGGCTAAATATCCTTAAACGAAAAATTTGTTAGGTAGGTGCACCTTCGAGTTTTGAGCCAACAGAATATCTGGTTAAACGCGAGATTGTCCATTTGGACTTGACCAATAACGAATATCAAGTGCTGTAGTTTCTTGGGATATCGTTGAACTTTTTTTTGAGTTAATTGGATATTCTGGACTCCATGAGGAGAATTAAATATTAATTACAATCAGGGAGTATGCACACTGGATAAATATTTATTCAAAATCTTTGAGTACATTCATTTTTTTAAAAATCCATTACTTTCTAAGTGCTAAGTGAAAAATCGTGATTAAGTATTGGTGCTTGCTTATATTTAGAGTAAAATCAAAGTGAGTGAATAATTTTTAAATCATCTTGGTACCTAAAGTAACATAGATATGTTATTCTCTATATCGCCTCAGCCGAATTCATTTTTTCACGCATTCTTCATTGATGCAGTGCTGTAATCGCAAACATAAGAGATGATAATTCAGACTGCTACGAATAAATATGAATTCCAACCTTGTTCTTCTGGCTGACAGGTGTCTACTTAGGTGAATTGCGCAACGTATTGTGAATTCAACATTATTGACTGATTTGAACATTATCGAGAAGGGGAAAACATTGAACCCCTCACGTACGGCGTCCATAGAACGCGGCTTGTCCCAACGGCCGGGAGACTTACGGCCCGTCAAGTCCGTTATTCAATGAGCGATAACTTGAAAATAGATGAACGAAAAAAATTGAAATAAAATGCATTGGACATTGAACTTCGAAATAAATTCCGTAAGAACTGTCTTTTTCCACAATTTCCTCATTTTTGACACCAATTTCAATGTTTGCCGACTATTGTTTGCCGAAATCATTGAACATGCTAAATTCATTTATAACAAGCGAATTATTGAAGAAGTCGAAATTTAACTTCTCCCATTTGATACAAGGATCATTAAATTATTTTCAGTAAAAATTTCAAAATTTTGGAGGAAATTTTGTGGATAAATGAGACCATTTAATATGATTGAATTGGTTCGATGTAAAATTTTCATCTACAACTTTTGTTCATGGAAACAGATGTTATAAATGCATTGAAAAAAAGTTCACTGCAGAGTCAATTCCATTGACTTTCCAAATTCCTTTTCTAAATGTCAATGTCTCTTAGAATTCGACAATATTATTTTTTACTGTTGACGGAAAGGGTCGATTCCATGCACCGGCCGATGGGACAAGCTTATAGGTCAATACATGGTATCGACATCGTATGTGAGAGGTTAATGGCAAGTATTATGTCAATTTTTTTCCCGTTTAAGGGGGGACCCCGGTGAAATTTGAAAGTCTTCGGTGAATCTGGGGACTTATTGAGCGACTTTAGTTATATGATGGGATATGTTAAACAGTGGGAAAACTCCCGGACCCAATCGGTTTTGCCCCGTACTTCCACGGAAAATGTCGTTTTTCGTGTTTCTACCTTTAAAACGTTCCTCGTTCCCCAATTTTGATTCGATTTGATTTTTTTTTTCAAAATGTTCGTGAGACTCCAAAGAACAAAGTTAAGCTTCTGTTTTATGATGCATTATATATTAGGTGTGTGACTTAATTTTTACAGATTTTTCAGTAAGTTTATTTAATATAAAAAAATAGAGGACAACGAACTTAATCTTGGAAATATTGTCCATCGTTTTCTATGACCTTGCGCCATCTCTCAGGTAAAATTCGAATGCCGTCGCGAAAGAAACTTGCAGACTTCGAGGCAATAAAGTCATCGACGAATTTACGCACATCGTCCAGCGTTTTAAACTGTTTATCCACTAAGGCATGCTGCATGGACCGGCACAAGTGATAGTCGGATGGGGCCAATTCTGGTGAATATGCCGCGTGCGGGAGAACTTCCCATCCCAAGTTTAAGAGGGTCTTCTGAATTGCGCGAGCATGGTGAGATCGAGCATTGTCATGCAGCAGTATGACTTGCCTGCTTCCTTGCCCAGTAAATGGCCTTTTCCGATCAAGTTCTTGGCTCAGTTTGTTCAGTTGTCGGCTGTAGCGTTCCGCAGTCACCGTCTAACGTATTTCCAGGAGTTCGTAATAAAGCACACCCTTCATGTCCCACCAGATACAGAGGAGAACTTCTTCAAGTGGATGTCCTTTTCGGCGTCGATGTACTCGATTGTCCGAGATCTACCCACGACTTTTTACGTTTGGGATTCTCGTAAAAAATATACTTTTCATCACCCGTCACAATTCTCCATAAGAAGTCCTTTTTTTGTTGCCGGGCAAGCAGTGAAAGGCACGTGTTCTTACAGTGATCTAGGTTGTGTTCGGTCAACACATGTGGGACCCACCTTCCAAGTTTTTGGATTTTTCCCATTTGATGCAAACGCTTAGAAATAGCTGTTCGGATGACTCCTAACTGAGCTGCAAGCTCTTGTTGCGTTTGTGTTGAGTCGTCATCTAGTAGAGCTTGCAATTCCGCATCTGTAAACTTTCGAGGCTGTCCAGGACGCGGCTGGTCACTCAGATCGAAATCACCACTTCTAAAACGTTTGTACCAATAATTACACGTTTCATAAGATACAACGTTGGCACCAAGAACACTACACATTGATTCCCGTGCTTCAGAAGCATTTTTTTCTTGTTGGAATTCGTATAAAATGCAGTGCCAAATGTGCTGTTTATCAGTTGCCATCGTAAACTCTACTATTCTGAAAGGTCATGTAACTTACATAAACTTGTCGTTCCGTGTTCTGAAACCTTTTGTCCGATCCTTTCAAAACCAGAAAAGACCGCGAATATATTTCTATTTTAAATATAATTTTAAGCTCGAAGAAAAAATCTGTAAAAATTAAGTCACACACCTANATGCAGTGCCAAATGTGCTGTTTATCAGTTGCCATCGTAAACTCTACTATTCTGAAAGGTCATGTAACTTACATAAACTTGTCGTTCCGTGTTCTGAAACCTTTTGTCCGATCCTTTCAAAACCAGAAAAGACCGCGAATATATTTCTATTTTAAATATAATTTTAAGCTCGAAGAAAAAATCTGTCAAAATTAAGTCACGCACCTAATAGATCATGAAAAAATCGAAAAAAACGAAAAAATGAAAAAAGAGGGTTTTCCTTCTGATCGTCAACTATTCAAAATAAAGACTTTTCAGGCATAATGCAAAGACAATCAGAAGAGAAAACCCTTTTTTTCTGTTTTTTCGTTTTTGTGCTTCCGAATGGAAGCATTGTAATCGTGCTGTTTTCACATTCTCTAATTTTGATTGGAAATTATGTAGAATGGTCTGAAACTTAAAGATACGAAGTTTGGCGACCATGTCTCTCGGTGTCAATGTCCATCGCCACCTTTCCGGTAGTCAATTTTTGGAAAATTAAGTAATTAATTGGCTAAACTTATTCCAAAAAATCTGAAATTTTGTCAGATTAAAGACTCTAACAAGGACTAACTTTATGCAAAAGTTCAACCGGATTGATCAAATAGTTTTGAGAAAAAGCTATTCGTTTTTCAATCGTTTTTCGCTAATATGTTTGAAGCTCGTCAACCGATTTCAATTTTTTTTTTCCAAAATATTCGTTGTGATGCCTCCTATCCGAATCAATCAAACCATATATACCCGTTCATACAAAGTTTTCGAGATATTTCCGTTTTTCTGTTTTTTTATAAAAATCTTTGTAATCACTCTAGCTTGTACAAAAATTGAGATATCAACTTGAAATTTGGTCAGAATCTTTCTGTCATGATAGTAATCCTTCCTATTGAAAATGAGCTCAATCGCATGAGTAATTTCCGAGATATTTGACTTTCTCTGAAACCCTTTTATGTGTAATAACTTAAAAACTACTGAACCGATTTCAATTTTTTTTTCAAAATATTTATTTCGATGCCCTCTATCCGAATGCCTTCTATCCCATTCGGAAGCTTACTACCAATGGAATTGGTAGAAATGTGTAATGTCCAAAAATTTTATAAAATTATTTCATGTTAGATTAATAAGAAAAAACAAATCAATTAATGTAAATTAACTAGAATACATTTCATCATTTGAACTCGATTCAAAATCCCAAAGACATTGGAATCGAGTACAGAAATGATGAAATGTCTCAATCAGCATGACCCCATTTCTCAATATCAAAATTCGCAAACGGAGGAACGATTGAAAACCGAGGAATCGAAACCCCAAAACCCAAGTGAACTACTTCTCCCAAATAACAATTAAAGAGTGGGAAAAGTCATACGACATTTTGCACCAATCAAAACTTGACTTGTGGAAACCCCCACGAGTCAAGTGACCCCAAAAACCACATAAAAAACCCCAAGAAAACCAAATTAATCAGTCTTGAAGCAGCGACGGAGCAGTAACAATTCTGGTGGAAGTAGTTCACTTAATCAGTCCGGTTTTTCAATCCTTCCTTCGATTATGCGGGATAGTTATGAATTAATAGTAGGTTACGAACAATTGAAATTATCCGGGAATAAAATTTCTTTAATCGAAAGTGGTGACTACTCTTACAAATAAGCAATTCGTTCATTATGACGCGTCGTGGACAGTCTCAAACAAACTCTTAAACTCTTAAAATTCAATTATCCAAATTTGTTAAAATACTTCAACGAGTAGAAGAAAGTGTCTCCGTCAAAATATCCATAATAGCCTTTAGCACGACTAATTGCTGATGAGGAAATTACGTATTCACCCAGGGATCTACAGCTACCACGATAACCTTATAAAGAACAAACCGAATTGTGAGTAATAAAATTTGTAAACCCAAATTTTAGATCCTTCAGATCATTCCAGGGGTAAGAATTTTAACTACATAAATTTTTGTAAAATCACACTTATGCTTTTGTAAACCGAATAGTTTTTCAAAGTATATTCAAATTCAAGTTTAATTATCACTACAACTCCAAATTTCTTGATCAGTGCATATTCTCAACTCGAACCCGATCCCTAAATGAAACCCTTTTCCTTTATATTTTAGGGAAAGGTAATAGTATAAACTTTGCGTCGTCCAATAATTCTAAATTCTAATAATTTTAGCTCTGATTTTAATGTAACAATTAAAACATGTCCTTTCGATGCTAAAATCTTTCTGCGGATATAACAAATGAAAGAAAGAAAAAGAGTTATAACACATAAAGTAACAGTCAGATAGCTTCGGCCAAAAAGACTCGAACCCCTGCTTGTTTCGGTTTTTTTTCGTTTTTTTCGATTTTCTCATGATCTATATAATGGATCGTAAAACGGAAGCTTAACTTTGTGCTTGGGAGTCTCACGAACATTTTGAAAAAAAAAATTAAATCGGATCAAAATTGGGAAACGAGGAACGTTTTGAAGGTAGAAACATGAAAAACGACGTTTTCCGTGGAAGTACGGGGCAAAACCGATTGGGTCTGGGATTTTTCCCACTTTTTAACATATCCCATCATATAACTAAAGTCGCTCAATAAGTTCCTAAGTCTACCGAAGACTTTCAAAATTCACCGGGGTCCCCCCTTAAATTATCATTTCAATCAACAAATGAACGTAGAAATGCTGATAAAAGTACTCACGGAACCACAGCCGCAGGTCGAGCCTTGGGCAGCTGGGACACTTACTGTTACGCAGTTAAGACTAAATGGGAAGATGTCAGTGGTGCACGTAAGAGCCTTGCAATTCTGGGGACCCTGTAAAAAACCATGAAGTGATTTGATGGATATTCTCTTTATTTTCTGCTTGTAATTCGACTGGAGTAATAAAGTTTCACTCACCATACATGCTCGACGGTAACCAAACGCTTGACATTGATAATGAAGACCAACTACGTCGCTTGGTAGAATTGAACGTAGAGGTTCTTCATCCTTACCCCAGTTGGGTGGATTGCGCAAGCATTCGGCAGAAGAGCTCCTGAAAGTACATAATTGGCATTTCTACACGGAGAGAAATATTCAGTAAAAATTACGGTACAGTTCACGTAATCCGCAATGGGGAAGCGTTTCCGGCAATTTTTATAGGAATGGAAGGGACGAAATCTGAAACATTCAATGAATTTTCAGGTTCATCACCGAACAAAGTACGAAATTGCCACGTAATTTTTCCCGAAGAAGTCAAATCTTACAGAAACTTTTCGGCTTATTATGCCTCCGAAATCGACAATCCTTGAACGTTCAACAATTTTTATAACGCTGGTGAGTTATTTCTACGTTCCGTTTCGTAAAATTTCTCAATCGTTGGGGAAAAATTACGGAACGACTTGTTGTCCCCACAGCTGTGAGTCATCAGACGGGTGGTTAATTTTTACGGAACAAATAGTAGAATTTACGTGGCAATTCGTACAAATTCAGTTCGGACTCACACTTTTTATCGAATTTTATTTCGCTCGCGGATTACCGTTCGAAACATAATTTTTACGTTTTTTTCTAAAAATTTGTATTGACTTTTTCTCTCCGTGTATCATCAAATAGCATATTTCGCGTTGGGTGCCACTGGGGTTTTCCGACGAGTGTGAGGTTGGCATGGCGAGCCGAAGGTGAGGCCTGCCAATCACACCAGTCGAAAATCCCTGTGGCACTAGGCTCGAATGATATTTGCCCGTAGTGACTTTTACTTTTGCCAGTTCGGGGAAGGGTAAGTACTTTACTAATCCCCGGTCTGGGAAAAATGACGGTCAGTATGGAAAAATCATTTTCATGAATGCTAGGATTGGTTTTTCCGGATCCCCAAATTATTCACTTTAGTGATTCTCTAAAGGCTTCTAAGCTGCAGTTGGACCATTTAAGGCTGACAGTACTGGACTCATCGTATTTTGACATCAAGTAGCCGGCTGCCGCGTGACAATCTTGTGTCTCCTCTTCTTTTTCGCCGTCATGTTCAGCGCCCAGTCTACGATCACAACATGATTGATGGCATGATATTTTAATGTGAGTAACATTGATTGAGTTGATGTTTTGGAATTGTAAAGTGATTAACTTACATGTGGCCCAATTCATGAGCGGTCATTCGTAAACCGCTGAATGCCAGATTATCTTGAAGAATGGCGGCTACGTCGACAACGGGACGCTTATTTTTGCATAGGGGTTCAAGGCTCGATACCCCTGTGTTATAAAGGATTTCCTGCATTATTATCAGGGAAATAATTTCTACGGAGAATTATGCGCCCCAAAATATATTCATGGCCATATATTCAATATTGATTATGAGAGTATTGAATTGTTTCGTTTATTTCTTACATTATAATTTTCGAAAGTTTGGAGCTCATAATTAATTTTTTTTCCTTATTCTTTACTATACTTTCTTCTAAAACATTTTGAATTCACTTGAATTCAACCTGAAACCGAGTTCCATTGCATCTGAACAATATAGTTTGAGTCACCTCAAAATATTTTAAGTTCGCCGCAAAGTAGTTCAAATTAATCTCAAAACATGTTCTTTTCGAAGGACACATTCATAAGATCATAAGGGGAAAATTGTCGAATACTTTTGTTATAAAGGATATGTAGCAGATATTGTTGGAAAGATATTTTTTCGCGGACAATAATTCGGGCCGTTGTTGTCAACAATTCATCAATCATGAAAATTATTGACTGTGTTTTAATACCAAATGGGAAGATACTAACCAGCTAATATTGGAGTGCAGATTTCTTCTTCGCTCTCGTCGCAAATGTAGGAGCTGAATACAAAAAAGTGCGGGTGAGTGAGGTATATGCTGTTGAATAATGATAAAAGCATAATCATACTTAGTCAGTGTTACAATAATGTCATAGGATCCAGCGGAAAAATCCTTATCACTTAGGTTCCCATAGAATTTTCCCATTTCTGCCAGCGCTGCGGTCGCATTGATGACCCCAGAGGCATTTTTATTGTTGTGTAAATATGGAGCTGCCGAAGGATTCTGAGAATAGAGAATGAAATTCTTACTAATGAGTTTTTCGGCCATAATGCGATCATACATGTATAGGCTGTCCCATTTGAAATAGTACGGCTTGACATTTTTTGTAAGAAGGGAGGGAATGCAAAATTGTTCAAGTAAAATTTGTAGGGTTCGGAGGGAAAAATTCAGAGCTGATGGAATCTAGGCCCCCGTTGCTTACATTTCTATGCTACGAGCATGGAGTCAGTTTTCTTAACTCTCCTCTGGTCGCCAAACGCGACCCTGTGACTTTGGTTACCGCGGGGATTCGCCGCCGTAGTACATAGGCTTTAGCATTACCGAATTTACTCTACACTATCCGGGTGCATTTAGAGAGTTTCCGTCAACGACGCGTCTTGGGCAATTTCATTTAATATGAGAAAAAATTATTCATCTGTCGGAAATAATTTGTTTTCTTTAGGAATTTTGGGAAATGTGATATTTTTGAATTTTTCCGGTTAGCCAGTCAATTGTAATTAAAGAAAAATGACACGCGGCGGGGTTTCCCTCATAGGGTGACCAATCTAGAGTTAAATGGCAACAAGATTTATCACCCCCGCAAAAGTTGTTTGTGTTGCCGAGAGAAGTTCAATCATACTATATTTTCCGATGAGCTCATCGTTTTTAATAACCGTACCAAAAACAAATGAAAGAGAAACCTGCATATTAGGTATTCCATGCCAAATGAGTCAACGGCTAACCCTCAGCCTCTGGAAAATTGATGGCGATTTTTTTACGATTAGGGGGCTTGAAAAACTATCTCTCAAATTTCTTCAGATTTTTTTGACAGCCCAGTTTGGAAATATGATGTTTTTCAAATTGTTCCGTTTTTTTACAATAACTCGAATTCTACTCATCCGATTTCGATTTATTACAGGGGAAAATTTTCCATTTTTCACCACCTATAAGAATATTTTTTTTTTAAGTTTTCCAATCTTTGGATGCTCGAAATAACGAATTTTCGAAAAAAAAAAGTTGAAAATTTGAATTTTGCCAATTACGTCATGGTCGATTATGTTAATTATTTTTTTCAGTAATTCTTATAATGAAAACGAAAATTTTGAGCCGTCATACATGTTGGGTTCCATCCAGGATCTATTTTTTTTTTATTTTTTCTTTTTAAAATTGCGAAGATTTGGTGAAAACACCTTAAACCGCCTTTAATTATGTATCGAAAAAATATGTAATATATAGGTATATATTTAAATTTACTTCATACTGTATATAATCAAAGTTAACCAATGACATTTTGGGGTATTTTGACCGAATTCGCGGAATTTTGAGAATAAAAAGTTAAGAATAAAATTGATCTAAGACAAAACTCAATATGTACGACGGCTCAAAATTTTTGTTTTGATTATAGGAATTACTGAAAAAAAAATTAAATAATCAACCGTGACATAATTAGCCAAATTCAAGTTTTTCAACTTTTTTTTCGAAAATTTGTTATTTCGAGCATCTAGAGATTGAAAAAAATTTGGACCAAAAACATTCTTATAGGTGGTAAAAAATGGAAAATTTTGATCCCTAATAAATCGAAATCGGATGAGTGGAACTCGAGTTATTGTAAAAAAAAACGAACAATTTGAAAAAAAAAAATCTCCGAACTGGGCTGTCAAAAAAATCTTAAAAAATTTGAGAGATAGTTTTTCAACCCCCCAATCGTAGAGAGAATCGCCATCAATTTTCAAGAGGGTGAGAGTCAGCCGTTGACTCATTTGACATGGAATATCTCATATATATATATATATATATATATATATATATATATATATATATATATATATATAT